TCATGATTGATAATATTTTTCTCAGAAATTTGAATATTTGCGGAAGCGTGCCCTTTATAGATGTATTTAAATAGATATTTGACACTTTTAATTGATGTACACACTTCAACATTTATATGACAGTTATATTGGAGGCACAAATACAGGTTATAAGAGACAATCCAAGTATTATCGACGATATTACTTCCAATCAAAATGGTACTACCAGATCTTCGTTTGTATTTGGGATATCCATCAATATTTCCAATGGTCACATTTTGAAATTCTTTTGGATATCCTTTGAACATTTTCCATACATGGACTATTTGGATTTTGTATTCCACGTGGTCCATGTACCATATTTGATTTTACAATTTGAAAAAGTCGAGGACACTGGTCCTCATCTGGAATTTCTGCCTTAACTATACGGTCAATGTCATCTTCTGAATGTAATTTGGACTCACTATCTAATATCAATAATATGTGAGCATGAGGCAGTCCACATTTCTGAAATTCAATTAGCTATTACTTTGCCAAATAAATGGAATTTACATATATCATTTAAAAGAGCGCTCAGCTTAATATTAAAAACTCTGGCTACCAAGTTAGGTCCGTTTTCAACTTTTTGCCAGCATTGTAAACTGTTTGTGATATCTGCCCATTTGGGGTTGCATGTCATGGTTATAAATAAATTGGGCTTGCCATACTTCGTTACAATTGCCATAGCATCCTGATTTCGCTGCTGCATATTTCTGGGACTACCCTCAAAAGATGATGGAAGTATTATCATTTTACCAATCGGCACATTGTCATTTTCAGATCTAGATTTGAGATAATCCATCAAACCACTATATTTTTCAACTCTCAACTTAGATTGGTTTGCTTTGATGAAATTTATCCGATTGGCCTCCATTTTTGAATACGAATCCACAATAAACTGTTGAGTTAATTTTCCTGCGTTTAAAATAGGATTGAATGTGTCCCTCACAGAGAGATGAAATCATAATACTGCCTTTGTTTGACTCGTGTCCTTACATTTCGCCTAGTATTATTGTCGACTACACTGTTGTCTCTAAGTATTAATGCAATATCTGTTCCCCAGCCTTTTTCACCATGAGGAAAAAGAAGAGAATATGTCATTGCATCTAATGTAGGAAACAGGATACTGATTTGTTTCATTTTAGTGGCACTTGGATTATTGGGATCTGGTTTACAATGACTGAGCAAGTCCCTTTCAAAAGGAGGTTCTCCATCTTTGTTTCTGAATATGACAGCAACCTCGGTTACACGAGGAGAATTATATCTACCTAGGTCACTGTTACGATCGTATTTAATTGCCATTGTTACTGCTGTGGGAGCAATACCTTTTGCCGCTGCTTCAGATTGGGCTTCCTCTTCTACCTCATGTAGCATCTTGTAAAGATTTTGTTAATTCATTTGTTTCATGCATGAGGTTGTTGATGTTGATCATGAGTCTTTCTAAGCAGCCCTGATTTTCTGGCATTGCTAATCTTTTACTTGTAGCTTCGGCTGTATCCAAAATATAGAGTTGAGCAAACTTCCGAGAAACACCATCCAAAGGATGTAAAGTTCCAGTACGGTGATAAACTTGTCCATGTATTCTAAAATAGTATGGCCCATACCGTGATAGCGACGCAATATTTGCACCCATGGAAGCAAACGCAAAAGACCTATTTATGGATCGAATATTTTTCATGAAATTTTTATGGTCAGAATCGTTTGTCATTAATCTTTTTAAATATGCCGGGTAATCTGGAAAATGTATATCATTTGGACAGACTTTCCCTTTGCTACAACATCAAGTAAATTTCCCATCGGATGGTTTTTTACCCCACCTGGGTATGCAAATTTAACTGCCATCTTTGTTGGGTTAATCTGCATAGTAACTCTGGCTGGTGGGTATAGTGAAGGTACGGTCAATTAGCATCTTTCTCTTTTATTAGTGTAGATAAATGACTTAGTATTTGCACGTAACCTATGCACATCCTACCATATACTTTAAATCATGTCTAGATTACTTATGATTAATATAATGTAAATGTTATATAAATAATTGCTATACTATATTGTTTCGGGAATAATAATAAGAAAAAAGTCTCCATTACAAACTTTTGAACAATAATAGATACAGAGGCAGAGCTGCCTCAAACTGACTGTCAAACTGCAGCAGGAAGGCCAGGGAGGGTTGGGGGGCAGGAGGTAGGGGGGTAAGAGATCAACCGAAGGACTTGTATGCATGCATATAAGCATAACCAATGGACATAAGACACTGGGGGGTAAGGGAGGCCAGGGGAGTGTCAAGGGCGGGGGGAAAAAAAGGACACATATGTAATACCCTTTGTAATACTTTAAGCAATAAAAAAAGAAAAAAGTCTCTACATGTTCAGCAACTGTCATAGGTCTAACTACATAGTACATGTCAGCAACAAGGTAGCTCTTTCCCCCGAATATTTTTGATCTGGAGTTGGTTGAACCCATGGGTGCAGGACCCACAGACAAGGACCAACTGTAGTTTTGGACAATGTGAAAATCTGTATCATATTGAGAGACTACTGGATGATGTGTGTGGAATTAGTATAAGCATATTAAAAACTGAACAAGCTTTTAAAAAGCAATTATTAACTCTAGAAAAATAACATTATTCCATGAAAAAACAATCATAGTATAATGCCTTAGCATAGACTAAAAACAGCTAATTAAATCAGGAGTGGCAGGGAAAAGGGATGGTAAGAAAGCTACATCTTATCCATCACAAGAGGAAGGTACCAATCACTAAAATCCACAAACCAAGAAACAAGAGCACATAGGTTATAATTTCAAAATGTGCTATGAGAAAAGTACATTTTTTAAGAAAGACAAAAGAATTAAAAGCACCAGCCCATCGTGCCAAATTTGATAAATTTGACTTTTTTTAAAATAATGTTTTCATTTATTTCAGAGAGAGGAATGGAGAGGGAGAGAGAGAAACATTGATGAGAAAGAAACATTGATCAGCTATATTCTGCATGCCCCTACTGGGGTTCAACCCACAAACCAGGCACGTGCCCTGACCGGGAATCAAACCAGTAACCTCCTGGTACATGGGACAATGCTCAACCAACTGAGCCCAACCTGGCAGGGCAATAAATTTCTATGTTGCTCCCTAAAGGAGAACCACTGCCATTCAAATTCTCCTTTGCCTGTAGCCTAATTTTCCTTAGAACCCGGGGTTGTGTTTAACAATTTAATAGAGGGAAGTGAGCATTACTCAGAAAGGTAAACTGAGAAAACTACTTTGCCCAATTCCAAACCATGAAAATCTCTGCAGAGGCAAATAAACCTCTGACTAGTTGTAATCAAGGTCTCCCAAGAGCCCTCTTGGGGCAACTGTTCATACTTACAGTGCCAATAGGAATCTCAAATATCCCAATCTTGCCATCCTCCAACAACTGGTACAGCACTGTCATGAAGTCTTTCTGGATGGAATAGGGTGTGAAGGGAAAAGAGAAATGGATGCCACCGATCTCCTGGTATTTATCAGCCCCCTGATCCTAAGGGGAGAAAAATATCTGGTAGTTCGCTGATGAGCCAGGAAGAACCCGGCTTGAAATCTAGAACAGTTCTTAAGAGCAGTCTCAATACTGATTACGGATTTTCTCCTTAGGCTCTACATTATTTGGCAAGAAGAGATCATGTTCCCTCCATCATGTGCATATCCCCATGAAGCCACACCAAATCATGCAATCCACCCAGTGACATTTATCACAAAGGGCTCTAGAAGAATGCAGAATGCAAAAGCCCTTATACAGAAACTCCCTGCATTTCACCTGAGGTACTTATGCTGCCTGGATAGCCTTCTAATGCCTCCTCGAGAGGCTTGGAGATTTCCTCTCAAAGACCTGTGCCCTGGGATCAAAGATGTTGCCTGTATTCACTTCTGCAGCAGTCTTCCCTCACTTCTGCACAGGGCGGTATGTGCATGACAAATGCTGCTTTATCCTGATGGGAGACCTGTAAATAGAATCATGACACACAGGCAAAGAATTACAAGTACAATTACACTTTTTCTGACATGGCACAGGTTAATGTACATAACCTTATTTTACAGACACCCCCTACAGTGGTCAATCACCCTCCCTCCAAATACGTGTGCATGCACACACGCAGGCCGCTCTACAGAAAGTCACTCTTTGCTGTCATTACCCTGCATTTAGTTTCTTCATAGTTCTTAGCACTCAACTCAATTCATTGAGTCCTCCCCACTACAGTATAAGCTGCATAAAAGAAAGAACTTTGTCTGTCTTGTTCTTCCCTGCCCCTAGCACTCAGCATGCCAGGTGCTGTGACAAGTAGCGGGGATTCAATAAAAATTTGATGAATATACAGCAAGCTTCACATGGGGGCTGTAGGTGGAGGTTTCTGTTATAGAAACCTCTTCAGAGGTGTCAGTGGAGGATGTCCCATAACTGAAATATCTAGTGCAAGGCCAGTTCTTTAGTCGTTACAAACTGTTTTCATATAACCTCACAACAACCATGTGGTCAGTATTATTACTAGCTCTATTTTATAGATGAAGAAACTGACAGAAAGATTAAATGACTTGCCCACTTGGTGTGGCTCAGTGGTTGGGTATTGATCTATGACACTAGGAGTCACGATTCAAATCACGATCAGGGCACATGTCTGGGTTGCAGGTTCCATCCACAGTAGGAGGTGTGCAGAAGGCAGCGATCAATGATTTTCTCTCCCTTTCCCTTCCTCTCTGAAATCAATAAAAAATTTGTTTTTAAAACAAAAGGTTAAGTGACATGCCGATAGTCACATAGCAATTGCCCGAATCCAAGATTTGAATGCACATCTGCCAGACCTTCAAGCTCCTAAGCTTTGTATTTCCTCATTCTTCTCTCACCAGGGTAAGGTGAAAATAGACTTGTTTACCAAACTTAGGAATGACAACAGGAAACAATACAGAAAAAAAGTAATTATTGCCCTAGCTGGTTTGGCTCAGTGGATAGAGCGCCAGCGTGTGGACCAAAGGGTCCCAGATTTGATTCCAGTCAAGGACACATACCTCAGTTGCAGGCTCTTCCCCGGCCCAGGCCCTGGTTGGGGCATGTGCAGGAGGCAACCCATCGATATGTTTCTCTGACATCGATATTTCTCTGTCTTTCCCTCTCTCTTCCACTTTCTCTAAAAATCAATGGAAAAATATCCTCGGGGGAGGATTAAAAGAAAAGAAAAAGTAATTATTATTTCACTCCCCATGGATGGTAATTATGGATCTCATTATTCCAGAAACAGCACAAGCTAAGTCAGAAGTTAAAGAAGGGTTTAGATAAATCCACAAATAGTAGATACACTATGTGTGCTTTAAGAATGCTTGGTGTAGCTTTTTCTGACCTCTTCAGATTGGCTGCCTGAAGGACAACCATGACCTTCCACACAAGTTCTCCCTAGAATTCCCCACCAGTGCTAAGGCACAAACCTCATGCTCATTAAATGAGGTAATAAGACCTTATGTGAAATTGTAAGTTTTGAAAGTGTTCATTTTCTTCAGTCTTCAATTATCACTTGTTATTTACTTGGGTATAAACTATTGCTACAGACTGAACTGTGTCCCACCCTCCCTCAAATTCATGTGTTAAAGCCCTAACCCCTAACATGAGACTCTTTTATTTGGAGTGAGGGCTTTTAGGAGGCAATTAACATAAAATGAAAAGGGTAATTAAGATTAAATTAAGGTATAACAGTGGGTCCTAATCCTTATTAAGATTGGTGGCCTTCTAGGAGTAAGAGAGAGCTCTCTCCTTACCAGCCATGTGAGGACAAGTACTAGTAAAAAGGGACCGACCTTCTGCAGACAGGAAAGGTCCTGGACAGGGAACAGACTAGGCTGACTTAATCTTCGACTTCCCATTCTAGACTGTAAGAAAAGAAAGAAAAAGA